ATCTATCTATCTATCTATCCATCTATCTATCTATCTATCTATCTATCTATGAATATGTGTCTCAGTTAAGTTGTATACAGACTTTTTAAATTACCCCAACAGCACACATACGTAAAGTGATTTGAAAAAGATGTTATTGTGCTGGTTGACTTCTGTCCTTCACGGCTTCCGTTGTTTGCGCTGGTGTTTTCCGGGGCTCCCTGAACGCATCGCCGCTGCTGTTTGGTAGCTGTGTGTGAACGTGACGCGTTCAAAGACTGGATTAAAAAACTCTCTCCAGCTCTTTGACTCGAGTCTGCAGATCTTTGAGTGAGTGAGCGACCAACAGCACACGTGTCAGCGCAGAGTTCAGTCTGTGGAGGCTGTGGACGCGTTTCACTGGACACCGGCAGCTCCGGAAGCTAGCAGCTAGCAGCTAGCCATGGCTGCTGAATAACAACAGAAGGAGACAGACAGGAGACAGACAGGAGACAGACAGTGGACAGTATCATCTACATGTGAGGGGCTGACAGGTCTGTGACAGGCATGAGCTCTAGAATAGAGTGTATGTTCTTCAGTGAGTTTCACCCCACTCTGGGACCAAAGATCACATATCAGGTAAGTGTGTAAATATTAGGTGTCCTCACCATACTTACTAATATTTAAGCATCGTGTCGAGAGATATATTGGACTGTTGTATTATTGCTAAAAATGATATTGCAATAAATACTGATATTGTTTTATCACCCAGACCCAATTATAAATAAGTGTAAAAAGAAATGAAAATTTGAATATTTTCCTTATTACAAATCATTGTTTCCACTATAGTGATTATACTTAATGTGAAACAGTTGTGATGTTCATCAGAAGCTTCAAGCACAAGGATGCTCAAGCAGAATAGGTTTTTTCACCACATACGTGAAAGTCAGGTCATGCAGATCAATTTTACAACAAAGGTATCCTGATTTCAGAGCTGCATCTTATTAGTCAGTCAATTGATAGAACAGTAAACATTGACAAATCAATTAATTGAAAACAAATTAAACATTTATAAAGTAATTATTAGCTGCAGCCCTTAGAGTAAATTAAAATGGAATCATTAATGCTATTAGTGGTAAGCATGTATTTAATCCGTCTACATGTTTGACCTCGGAACAGTAAATGATCTTCTCAGTCGGTCTTACAGGATGTATGTTGTGATGCAGCGTCTCCTGTGTTCTCACCTGACAGGTTCCAGAGGAATACATTTCCAGGGAGCTCTTTGACACAGTTCAGGTTTATATCATCACCAAGCCAGAACTGCAGAACAAATTAATAACAGTGTAAGTAATGTTACAGTCCACCTCTGCCTCCTCTTTATAATTGATTGTGTTTTCACATCTAAGTGAATGTTGCTCTTTTTTCATTATCGATCTATCCTCCATGCTCTTTACATGTATTCTAGCACCGCCATGGGAAAGAAGTTAATCGGATGTCCTGTGTGTATCGAGCATAAGAAGTACAGCAGAAACGCCCTCCTGTTTAACCTCGGCCTCGTCTGTGATGCCCAAACTAACACGTGTGCCCTGGAGCCGATAGTGAAGAAGCTGTCTGGATACCTCACGACTCTGGAGGTAGCGATGCAGTTTCACACCTTTCCCTGTCACATTTGTCTGCTTTAATATTTCTGTTATTCTCAGAAGTTAATGTTAATCTTTTTGCTTTCCTGTGTTGCAGCTGGAGAGTGGCTTCATTTCCAAAGAGGAGAGCAAGCAGAAACTTTTACCCATCATGTCGACCTTGATGGAAGAGCTCAATGCCACAGGAGCCTGTACCTTACCCATCGGTATTATCACAGTTTTTACAGTGCACAAGTTGTATTGGTGGCAACAACTGTCTGAACTCACGTGAATGCTTAGGGTGATTAAAAGCACGTTATGTGTGCTTGCCACATAAAACAGCCATGATATTGTGATATAAGTTTAAAAGTCTATTGAGTCGGTGTTTGTAGAAAACGTCTTGTTCATTTTTTTGCAACACATTGTCAAAATATTGGGGCAGCAGCACTGAACATTTCCCTGAAAAGGTGACGTGACATTAAGTGACAATATTTGCTAAAGAGACAAATAAAGAAAGAACCATAATGTAAACAAAACACATTCAAACTGGTAAAACACAAAAACATGCAGTTTATAGTTTAATAAGATGTACAAACACAGTATTTACACTATGTTATGTATTTATCTTCCCAGAGTATACTATATTATACTATACTATATACTAGAAAGATCATTCAAGGACCACATACTCAGCTGACGTCATCTGACCTGCTTCAGTTTCACAATTAACTGAAAATATCTTTACAATTTTTCCTAGTGCATTTATTTTTTTTGGCCATCACCAGAATTTAAACATTGATCATTAAAGCATTGGTTCATTCAGCTTCTCTTTGCCCCACTCTCCTGCTCACACATTGACACATTTTATAGTTAGATGGACTAAATACAACATCAGTTGGTGTTTGCAAACAAAAGTGACAAACGTGTGCATTTGCATATAAAACGGGAAAGTGAGATCCTCACACAAGTGATCACTGGTGACATGTGGAGACACTTTCTAATGCCAGGTGTGAATTGATAAACTTGTAGAGCCGTCCACTTGTGATCAGATCACATTTGATGGTGTTAAGATTTATAGATTATGGTTTATGATTGAAAAAGGTGGCAACAAAAATTATTACAATCAAGTTGTCTCTGTTTCAGACAAGTCAAATACCATCCACCTAAAACTAATCCAGCTGCGGAAGGACCCCCCGATTGTCCAGGAGTACGATGTCCCAGTTTTTACCAACTGTAAAGAGCATTTTATCAAATCTCAGTGGGATCTCACCACTCAACAGGTAGTGTTCCTGATATAAAGTCATATTTAAATAAGTACAGTTGGTACAATAATAGGCACAATATTGACTTGATATCTGTAATAATGAAGATAGTAATGAATATCAATCCGGTCATGGAGTTCAGTAGAAGCCAGTAACATTGTACAATGTGATGTCAACTGCAGATCCTGCCTTACATCGATGGATTCAGACACATCCAGAAGATTTCAGCTGAAGCAGATGTGGAGCTGAATCTTGTTCGTATCGCGGTGCAGAATCTCATGTGAGTTTATTTCCCTGCACAAAGGTCAACGCACACCAGAGGCGTTTGATGTGTGTCAAAACACCCTAATCCATTATGTTCAATGTAAAGTAGGATAATCCAGCAAATCAGTGGTGTCACTGTGAACGTCATTGTGGGTTGATCCCTGACAACACTATAGAATGAGCCACTGTGTGGTTTTCAGTGCTGATGTGAGTGAAATCATTTTAGAAAGGATCACTCGTATCACATTATCCTGCTTCAGATCATTCAGTACGTCACGGTGCAGCTGGTGTATGTTGTACCACAGTGTGATGAAACCTATTTATCCAAAAGAAACCAAGTCTCCTTTTCCTTCACAGGTATTACGGTGTCGTGACTCTGGTGTCGATATACCAGGTACAAAACTAAACTCACACAGTGACACACACTGGACTGTGTCCAAAGAGTGATGGTACTTCTGATGGAATAATGAACCTCTTTTAGAACAAAATACATCTGAGAATTCTAGGATAAAAGTTTTTTTATTGGTTGAAAACCAAAAGTCTTAATTGTTAAATCTATATCTACCGATCAGTGGACTTATAACAGCAGTCTGTTCACCTAATTAGAAATAATGCATATTAATATCTTGAACTACTAAGAATTGTTTATCCAAGTATCATGACTTATCTCCTTCCATTATCTATCTTATTTTCTTTATTCTGTTTTTTTGTGTTATCTTGCTTCTCTTTGAGCTACTTCTTTTTATTTTTTTTACTATTGTCATTCTAACCTCAAGTTGCCTTCATGTGTTCCTGTTTGCTGCTTTTCTTTGTTACTGTTTTCTACTCTACTGGATTCCTACATTTGTCTCTCAGTCAGGAAAAGTAACCATCTGTTGAAGTTTATAAGGAATTTATTCAAAAAGGATTTTTCACAAATGTTTCATTTGTGTTCTCAAAATGTCATATTTTGTCCTGATTGTGTCTCTTTCCTGTAACTGATGGTTTGTTTTATTTGTTAAATGTAACGTGTGCCTCTTTATTTCCACCAGTACTCTAATGTGTACTGCACCACCCCCAAAGTCCAGAGCCTCATAGACGACAAGTCCATTCAGGAGGAGTGCCTCAACTACGTCACCAAGCAGGGTAACGAGTGTGTTTGCTGAACTTAAGTGTGTTTTTAATTTATTTTGTAATATTTATAGAATATTTTAAATCATTCAGGTCAAAAGCGAGCCAGTCTGAGAGACGTGTTCCAGCTGTATTGTGGTCTGAGTCCAGGCACCACAGTTCGAGACCTTTGTTCTCGCTACTCGCAGCAGCTTCAAAGGGTTGATGAGAGGTCAGTGTTCAGCTTTACAGTTCCTGAAAATACTGTATGGATCATAAAAGATTAAGTCAGAGTGACATTTATCTACAGGTGTGTCTTGTCATGTTGCCTTTTAGGAGGCTGATTCAGTTCGGACTGATGAAGTCTCTCATTCGTCGGCTGCAGAAATATCCGGTGAAGGTGATCCGGGACGAGAGGAGCCGGCCGCCTCGACTCTTCACCGGTTCTCATAGTTTTGATGAGATCTGTTGCAAAACAGGCAGGTTTTAAATCTCCCTCTGATTGCTAAGGAAATCCTTTTATGACGTAATATTTGCTCACAGTCAGTCTAATAACTCGACTGGTGTCATGATTTTACAGGGATCAGTTACAAGGAGCTGGACGAACGTTTGGAAAATGACCCCAACATTGTGGTGTGCTGGAAGTGATGTGAAATGAACTGACAAAAAAAACCCAGCTCGCTGGTGCATTCAACCATCTGACTTAAAGATACAGAGGTGCCTCAACCAAAGATGCCTTCAGTGAGATGAAGAGTTTTCCTGGAATAACTGAGAAAAGTGAAAGTGAAGTATTATTTTGTAAATTCATCATCTAGGTAAAAGAGAAAGGTGGTATTTATTAATATTGTAGAAAGAATAATATGTGACTAATAAAAGAAAATCTAAAGAAAATCTGGGATTGTTTTAAGTCACTGTATTCAGCCCAGTTTATCTGGTTATATATGGCCCTGTCCAAATGTCTTACATCTATATTTGCATCAGGGAGGTGTCTCTGATTGGTCCTTAACTTACAGCATGACAGTTATCTTGGACGTTTGGCCAAAGATACAAAAATGAGCCGTCTTCAATGGTTCTTCAGAGAGGAACGTAGAGTCCTGTAACATGATCTGATCAGAGCCTTGATCTCAACACTGTGGAGGTGATCACATGAGTAGAAAGAAGACACTGAGCCGAAATCCATAGAAGATCAACATACATGGAACAAGATACCTGACAAGTACTGTGAAGAACACAACTTTTACTA